AATCGCGAAATCCTGGCGGCGAGTTAATTTTATATTAGGGGGTGTTTATTAATAGTGAGAAGGGATTACACCATATGTACATAGATGTGTATAAACATGGCCCACAACTTGTAAAACGATAAGGAATAAACACAAAAAGAGATGTCAAACAGGGATAGGAATCCGTGACTGATATTCTTGACGAACTCATATAATCAGAGTCTGAATTAAATTTCGGGCTCGAGGAACACTGTAGAACTAGACAGGCTGGGTGGCCGTTCCGCCGACCAGAGAAGGAACACTTCGAAGTCCGAGGACTCAGTCGGTCATGTCATGTTTCCAGTGGGCTTCCAAGGCTGAAAGTTGCATTAGACTTGCTAAACCACTTGTCTAAATTTCTGCGCGAGCTCTGCGCAGCAACATCGCATCGCCCGGATGGCGTCAAGCTTGCTAGCAACGAGCTATCAGATGCTCAAGCTGCCCAGGTTATCAAGTCGGCATGCCGCATCTGTCACAGTCTAGATGCGTCGTGCTCAGAAGTTTGCTGCGTCAGCCTGGACATGTTCGTCAGAGTGCACGGCAGGCATGCTTGGCATATGTTCCCTCTCCAGCCTCAAAGTGTCCCTTTCTCTTGTCCGTGCTGTCTCGATCTTACCCCACCAGGCTTTCCAGCAAACCCCGAAACACCCGCAAATCCTAAACCCTCTGTGACGATCTGAGGATAGCCCTGACGACCCTCTGGTCGCCCCCTGCCGATGTGACGGCTCCTTGAGACATGTGCACAACAGCTGCCAGCAGGCAGAACCAGGGTTGATCTCATGTGGTCCTATTGTCGACTGATCTGTCTGGACTCAGAGACGTAGGGGGCTGCAGAGCCTCGAAAGTTCGCAGCACCTGCAATGTTAGAAGCGCAGGTGGAAGCAACATGATTTGTTGCAATGGTGGTGCAAACACAGCCATGAGACTGAAGCCACAATGCAAAGAAAGGATCTGTTTTGGCTTCAGTACGTGGTCTTGAGAGGGGATGACCTCCAGCGTTGCTAATCTCGCTCATGCTTTTCGCTTCGCTCAATTTCATCCATCGGTGTTGAGAGCCTGTTCTCTGACAAATTGTGTAGGTTTGACTCGAAGCTTCCAATGGTTTTCAACAACACTTCGACAGGTCATAGTCATGCCTTCTAAAGCCTCAACCTGCGGACAGTTGCATCTCCTTGGCAGGCATGGCTGTCGCACCGACGGGGCTTGTCGGACTTCACATGCGAGCGGGGTCTCCCGGATACGATTTCCGGGATGGGATGACCAACCTAGGACAGCGTACGAAATCCATGGCGCACCCCACACCACTAGTCAGAGTAGGCCGTCAATGGATGTTGGGGCTTGTTGTTGCAGTCAGCTCCTGCGGCTACGCGCGCATTCGAATTTGGTAAGTTAGTGCGTCAGGCCATCCCCAAGCATCTGTGTGCAACCGCTCGCAACTCCTACAGGCTCTGCCGTGCCAACTTGGCATGCAGATTGACCATGGCGACACGGCCTCGTGACTTCCGATTAGCGATGGTTTTGGCTTTTGTGGTATGGTCCAGCGTGCTTCCTAGGCTGCAGGATTCTTGAGGTTTGTGTAGTCGATTCGTGAATGCTGGTTGAAGCAAGTCACCAAGCAGACTCAACCTTGTATCTTTTCTGATCGCCGGCAGCGCATCGGCGATTCACAGGCTTTTACCTCAGACTCTGCATACTCTGAAGCTGATTCCCCAGTAAGGGCTCTTCGGATGTTAAATCAATCCAGGTTGCAAGTCGTCTCCGTTTTCCTGGCTTCCGCCTGGACCCCAGATAGCCGCATCTGAGAGCGGAAAGGCGAGGGAGAGGAAGAGAAAGGGGAGGAGGGAGACCGCTGTCTCCAGCTGTCGTAGAAAAAGAAGTTCGAGAAATGATCCGGTCGCAAAGAGATACAGTAAGACTACTGGCAAGAACCCAGTAGACAGAGGCAGATGAAAGCGCACGGACAGAAGCCACATTCAGAAAAAATTGCTTGTTGATCTCGAGTTACCAAGCAGCGATGCAGTTTTCCTCACAGTGAACTTTGGTCGTGGTCTTACCCAAGCTGGGAGCCTTAAGCGGTTTAGCAATCTGCTCTCGATCTCTCTCACTCTCTCTTGTCCCCGGATCTGCAAGCCCGTGTGTCCTTTGCCCGTTTGGCCCAGCTGCACAGACGCGCCAAGGTTAGCACCGAAGCAAAGTTGGCTTAGATTTGCCACACGCCTCATATGTCTGATTCAACGTGAGAAAATGTTGGCCTTCAGCAGAACCGAAACCTGCATGAAACAACCTCTAACTTGGACTGGAGGAGTACCCGTTCCATCTTTGTGCTAGCTTTCCAAGTCAATGCTGCTCCGTGCATCTGTTCTGTTCGCGGATGCTCTCCTGCAGTTGAACAGCGCTAGCCGTTTCAGGTGCTGCTATGGTGGGCTCAGATCGGTTCAGCGTGGCAGGCAGGGCTCACTCTCGCGCTGAGGAAGTTTGCCAGAGTGTAAGGCTCAATTCAGAGAGCTCTTTGCATTTGCACCTATGTTGTTGCAGCAGTATCTAGGTTTGGTTGTGGCTTGGGCTCGCACACAACTGAGGATGTTGAGTAGATGTGTGTGATTGTGCTCAACTCTGCAGTGGTTCGTGGCAGGCAGCGCAACTTGCCGGAAGGCTTATCTTGGCCAGCTGGCGCAACGTAGGCCTCATGATTTCGCGAGGGAAGGTCAGATTATCTGGAATCTAAGCAGCTACTATCGTGGAACCCTAGTAGTAGTAGTCGTTGTCGTCGTAGTCGCAGTAGTAGTAGTCGTCGTGGTAGTGGTGGTGGTTATGGTGTAGTCGTCGCCACCGTCGTCGTGGTCTGGTAGTAGTAGTCGTCGTCGTGGTAGTGGCGGCGGTGGTAGTAGTAGTAGTAGTAGTAGTAGTAGTAGTAGTAGTAGTAGTAGTAGTGGTAGTGGTAGTGGTAGTGGTAGTGGTAGTGGTAGTGGTGGTAGTGGTAGTGGTAGTGGTAGTAGTGGTAGTAGCGCAGTAGCAGTAGCAGCAGCAGCAGCAGCAGCAGGAGTAGCAGTAGCAGGAGTAGCAGTCGTCGTCGTAGTAGTAGTAGTAGTAGTGGTAGTAGTAGTAGTAGTAGTAGTAGTCGTAGTAGTGGTAGTGGTAGTGGTAGTGGCAGTGGTAGTAGTAGTAGTAGTAGTAGTAGTAGTAGTAGTAGTAGTAGTGGTAGTAGTAGTGGTAGTAGTAGTGGTAGCAGTAGTATCAGCAGCCGCAGCAGGAGGAGGAATAGTAGCAGTATGTAGCAGCAGTAGTCGTAGTCGTCGTGGTCGCGGTCGCAGTCGTGATGGTGGTGATGGTGGTGATGGTGGTGATGGTGGTGGTGCTGGTGGTGCTGGTGGTGCTGGTGGTGCTGGTGGTGCTGGTGATAGTGGTAGTGGTAGTAGCAACAGCGAGTCGTCAGTGACCATTAGTGAGTGGCTAATGGTAGAAGTAGGTAGTAGGTACCAGGTAGCAGTGGTAGGTATTTAAGTAGTAAGCTGGTAAGTAGCAAGTTGTAGATACTGGGTAGTAGGTAGCAGGAGCAGGGAGCTCGTCGAGCATAAGTCATAAGTAAGTTGTCAGTTGTGAGATGTCAGTTGTAACATGTGAGTTGTAAGGTTTTAGTTGTAATTTGCACGTAGTACGACGAGTACTCATACAGTACCTAGTACCCGGTACTAGTACTAGCGTTAATATGGACATCAACACATCATTGTGTTGACGCAATAGTTGCCACATGCATATTGTGCATTTTCAGTATACGTGTATGTGTATATATATATATATACATCTGATTGTATTTATTGCCCGTCTTGATTGTATGTGCAATGCATGCCTGCACGTGTTAGATTGTGTTGCGATATAAACTCTTTTGCTACATGCTGTCGCTGTGCTGATGTCTGAATCATTGACACCCGTCGTGAGTTCACTGCTCGGCACATCAGTCCAAACATCGAGTGAATGGGCTGCATCTTACAAGTCCTTGGTCTTCGGCGGGGGCATTGCCTGGCAGGTCGCGTGGGCCACCTCTTCGGCGGCTCTGCGCATCCGCCGGTGCATCTGTCCCAGGAGCTTTCAAATCCCTTAACTCCTGCTTGTAGGCTACATGGGGAGGATTCAGAAGTCCTTAGTGAACGCCCAGCTCAGAACTCCTAAGTCTTCCGGATCCACAGATGCGGGCTAACTAATTGAGACATGGTTTGATTTTGGTTGCCGACGAAAACACCGAAGTCTACGGGATTGCACATGCCTGCTCACTCATTATCTCGTTGAGCTTCATGCTTGGAACACCTGCGAATGCTGCCTGCCATAAACACGAAGTGTCGTCAAAATCTGTCCTTGCGAGATCTCGGGCGTTGCATATGTTGTGGCAAGCTTCATGTTACTGTCGTATGGCGGACAGAAAAGCAGGACACCATCGGTCTTGCGGCAGCGGCTGTTACCGCTGCTATATCACTGCGGCTGCTCCCCCTACTGCGACGACTGCTTCCACTGCTACTGCAACTGCTGCTGCAGCAGCAACGATCACGCCGACGTCGATGACAGGGACTGCAGCCGTCACCAACATCGTTTCTCTGTAGTTATTACCCCTGCTGCGTATACTACTTTCACCGAACGGGAATCAGCATTGTTTTGAAGACACTGATAGATTACCATAATGGTTACGGTAACGATATTGCGTGCTCGTCGTCCTGGTGCTTGTGATCCTGCTGCTCCTTGTGCTGCTCCCGTCCCTGCTGCTTCCGCGACTCGCCACCCAAGATGCAAGGAAGACTAGTCCTGCTAGCAATGGTAATTAATCATGCCACTGATCATGCCATTGCCACCAAAGTCCGACGACGACGGTTACTACTGCGACCAATTCCATCACTGACACTGCTGCTACTACACTTGTTCTACTCCTACTACTACGACGACGAAAACGACGAGCATTACTACAATGACGTCGACCAGCGGACCGGCAAGCTGAGGCCGCCAGCTGCCTTGGTGGTTTTCTGCCAGGACTTCTGTCATTGCTCGGCCCAGCGCTTGGTCATGTCCTCAGGAGCTTCGTTGCTACTGCGACTACGACCACTACTGCTGCTGACGATGCTGGTACTGAGGCTACTACTAGTCCTATCAACAGTATGCAGTACCGTAACACTCTCCTGCTGCTGACCTACTACTCCTACTGCTCCTACTCCCCCCGCTGCTGCTTCTCCTAGTACTGCTGCCGCTGCAACTGCTGAGACCGCTAGTACTGGTCGTAGCACCAAGTACTGGAACTAGTCACTACCAGTACTCGTGGTACTACTGCGACTGCGACTGCTACGACTACGACTACTACTACTACTACTACTGCTACTACTGCTACTACTGCTGCTGCTGCTGCCGCTACTCCTTCTACCACTACCACTACCACTACCACTACAACTACCACTACCACTACCACTTCTACCACTACCACTACCACTACCACTACCACTACCACTACCACTACCACTACCACTACTACTACTACTACTACTACTACTACTACTACTACTACTACTACTACTACTACTACTAGTACTGCTACTACTACTGGGAAATGCTTACGGCAATCTTTGTTGTACATCCAGGCTATATACAGGGCTTGAAGGACCCACGAACCATGAGGGTCGACTTTTGAAAGGAGTGTGTAAACGCGTCTAGTAGAGTGTCTGCAAGTATCTGCCAGTACTCCGTAAAGCCACTTGCAGTGCAATACAGCTCCGGCAGCCCTAGCATCAGTCCATAGCAACTGCAATTGCTCGAGGTGATCTCCGTTCTGACCGCACTGCTGGCTCTGAACCTGTTCCGCTTCTTACAGCGTCCGTTGACATTTGTCTGCGAGGCCCTTCAAATTTCAAGTTCCGCAGTGCTGGATTCCTGCCAAGACTACGGAAGAGGGGCGTTTGAGAGTCAGCAGTGAGGACTTGCTTGCCAAGATCTGCACAGTCAAGATTGGAGGCACGGCAATGATGTACAAAGTGCTCTCACAGCAACTTGCCTGTCAATCTCCATCTGCTTGAGCTACTTATGTTGTCACTCGGGCTGTGTAATATGACCAAGCTGTTTCGTGGGAGTTTGGCATGGTAGCATCGAGCTGAGTTTCATATATGACGCCGAGCCTAGCTGCGTGATGGGTGCCGGATTACAGAGGTCTAGAGGGGGCCTACCCGGCAACACGATCCACGCAGGATGCGTCTTGGTCCTCCTGCATGAAGTGATCTGGGTTCTCCCTGCCGTCAAGAGGGTGGCTCCATGTTCTGCGTGGTTTGCCTTGGGTGCGCCGGCAGCACGCTTATGCTACTCCAGTCAGCATGGCTTGAGGGCCGTCTTGGAAGAGTTCGAGGTCACAGAGTGCGGGGTTTGCGGTTTGACACACTCCTCTGTGTCGGTGGCTCTGTTTAACTGGTTGCTCCCTGCTCCTTGCAGAGTGGACGATCAGCCTTGAGACTCTATCATACCGCCAGGCAACACTTTGCTGATGGACACCATCGTCTTGGCCTTCTTGAAAGTTCCTCGCGAGGATGCCCCAGTTCCGGGAACTGATCCGAGAATCCAAGACTGAGGATTGAGGCTCTGGGAGCATGTTCGGGCTTGCATTTGCTTGAGGCTGTGTTAGCTTCAATGCATGTGCAGGAGCGTTGTGGTCGACAAGCCGCTTGCCGTGTGCTCCATGCAGCAGTCAGCCTGACCAGCGATTTTCTGCCGTCTGCGTCTCAGCCGGCTCAGGGCGCCATGTTGCGAGGGCGAGAGGGGCTTGGCACAGTGCTCACGGAGCAAGTTCTTCCCGGCACTCGTCGTTTCCAAACCTTCTCCGGGAGCTTTCGGACCTTGCAGGGCCTAAACCCGTGGAGACTTAAGCCATGCGACCGCTGCTTCTCTGTCTGAAAAGCCACCTTCGCATCGTGTCTGATGCACAAGAACTGGAAAATCTGGACTCTTTGTCAACTCGGAGGTTTGCAGCGGTATTCTTCCTTTGGCTCCTCGGCTGCATGTCATTCCTTGACTACCTGCTTGATCTTCTGCAGAATTGCTACTGCTACAACACGCGGACTGCTGGTAGCTGCTAGTGACCGCTAGTGTTCTAGTAGGAGCTCCAAACAATGTTTCCAATCCAAGCAGGAACTGCCAGGGACTTCTCCTTGATGCCAACTTTTCAGTTGGAACTCCCAACCTCCCAAAATTCTCTGAGTATTCCCTGTGACAAGGCTCGGTCACACGCATGCAGCAGTCGCCGAGCCTCCAGGGTTTTTGACCTATTTTTGTTTTTCTATGCATGCGGTGCTGCACCGATTTCTCAGGTCGATGCAGATTTTGAGGTACATGATGTGAAGTAGAATGGTAAAGACTCAGAAGGCCCGCAGCAGCCCAGACCGACAAGCCGAACAACTCGAATTCAGGCTGGCATCTTTGGGGATGGTCATTGCGGCTTCGCTGGCTCTCGCCTTACAAGGAGTGTGGCCGGGAAAGAGTCTGGGGACCTGCTTCTTCGTAGCTTTGCAAAAGTTGTTTCGTCAACTGAGGTGCCCTGCATGGCTCTCTTGCTGCACGAGGCTGCCAGAATCCCAGCATCGCTCCAAATCCGTCTTGACTGATCGCTTGCGGGAAAGCCTGCTGCAAATAAGGTCCGTGACTTGCGCCGCAGACGGCAGCAACACGGAACGCTCCAAATGGTACGCCCTGTGCATGCATGAACGTGCCACACACCGATTCCTGCTAGTTTGAGTGGCCTGCAGCTGCCTCCTGCCGTTGTGAGTTGGGTATGTCATCTGTCCTTGCTTGAAAGGCGGTGTTTGTCCTTTGCTCCGCCGTTCGAGTAATGTCTTCCTTCTCAGCCCGGAACTCAAATCATGCTTGCGTCCGCTGTGGCAAATGGATGTATCATACACAAGGCCGGCGAGCTAAAGGACAGAGACATTCTGGCCATTTGGCCTGGCCCACAGAGAAAGCATCCTTTACCGCTCCACCCATAAGAGTCGGGCACGAAAAGCAGGTTTGTCCACAAGCCAGGCAGTTTATCGGATCTGTGTTTGCAGTGAACCGTCATGTTGCCGGAGATGTACTTTCGGATAAGCCACTGACTGATTGGGATGCAAGGATGGAGCGTGGATCGTTAGCGCTGTGGCTCGTCCTGGAGGCACAGCCTGTATGTTGAAAGCTTGCTTAGGGATCTGGGATTTCACAGCCGAATGGCTTACAATCTCACTGGTACCATGTCATGTACAAGTTCCACAAATTCTTCTGCAGTCTGGAAAGAGTCGCAGGTGCCTGGTCACTACGTTACACAATAGCACTGTCCGTGCTGGTGTTTCTGTCGCTCTCACTGTTGCAGCTGCTCGCACTGTATCAGTTCTCAGTACCGCGAAGAACACTTACAAATTGCAACAGTTGTGCTTGTAGCTGTTCTTGTTGCAGCAAAGACTGTTGTTGTTGCTGCTGCTATTCCTGTTGCTGCAGCTGCTGCTGCTGCTGCTGCTGCACTTGCTGTTGCTGCTCTGCCTCCTTTGCTGCTGCTGCAGCTGTTGCTGCTGTTTCTGCTCTTGCTGCTGCCGTTGCTGCTGCTTCTGCTTTTGCTGTTGCTGCTGGTAATGCTGCTCCTGCTGCTGCTTTTGCCGCCGCTGCTGCTGCTGCTGCTGTTGTTGTTGTTGTTGTTGTTGCTGATGCTGCTGTTGCTGTTGTTCCTGTTGTTGCTGTTGATGTTGCTAATAGTAAGAACGATAATCCAAAATAACAACATATAACAACAAAAATGTCGTTGTCGTTGGTGGTGCTAGCGGTGTTGATTATTGGTTGTGGTTTGCAGTTTGCGGTTTGTTGGCTGTTGCGGTTGTTGACTGTTGCTATGTTGGTTGTGTTGTTGCTGTCGCTGCCGCTGTCGTGTAGTGTTGTCGATGATGATGATGATGATGATGATGATGATGCTGGTGCTGGTGCTGGTGCTTCCGCAGGTGCTGTTGTTGCTGTTGTTGTTGTTGTTGTTGTTGTTGTTGTTGTCGTTGTCGTTGTTGGTGGTGGTGTTGGTTGTTGGTTGTTGTGTGCTGTTTTTTGTTAGTTATGTGTTGTGGGTTGTTTGTTGTTCTTGTGGCCGCTATTGTTCTTGTTTTTCTTCTTCTTCGGCTCATTTTTTGTAATTATGCTGTTTCTTGATCACATGTTTTTTCTTTGGTATTCTTTCTCTTCTGTTGTTTTCGGTTCTTCTGGTCTGCTTTTGCTGTCCTGACGGTGGTGGCGGTGCCGTCTGCTGCTGCCATCGTCGTTGTGGTGATGATGGTGGCCGTGGTAGTGCACACGGTGGTGTTCGTGGTGTCGTTCGTGGTGATGGCAGTGGTTCTTGGTCCCAGGTTACTTGTTTGGTGTTGTTGTCGCAGCTTGCTGATGCGTTTGTGGCTGTTCCTGTTCATGCTACAGGGGGTGTTGCTGTCTTCGTTTGATTCTGCAGTTGCTGTTGCTTCTGGCAGCGTTGTGATTGCAGTTACTCCTGTTCGCGGTATCCGCTGCTGGGTAGGGCTCATGGCCACACCTTTCATGCGTGACAAGTGAATGCTAGCAACAAAACACCATGACAATACAATCCAGGAACACATGTGCAGAGGTATGATTGTGCTGATGAAAACCACGATGCATGATGACGGGGACGGCGATGCCCGAAGCGGCGATGAAGATGAAGATTGAAAATAGTTGTCACCTGCCCATTTTGCACTCGGAGTTATCGCACAAAGCGCATGACATTGGCTGGCGGTAGCAGCAAACGGCTAAGAACAAGTATTCAACTCTTGAAACGGATAATACTAGTAGTGGCAGTGCTTTTGTTGTCGTTGCTGCTGGCGGTGTAGTAGTGGTCGCCGTAGTAGTAGTAGTAGTAGTAGTAGTCGTCGTCGTCGTCGTCGTCGTAGTAGTGGCAGCAAGTAGGAGTATAGTAGCAGTCGTCGTCGTAGTAGAAGCAGTAGTGAAAGACATCAGACGCAATCCATTTCCAGGCTGCTGTGTTTTTCGACGTCTCCATCGTCCGGAGAGGGGTGTCCTGTGCCAGAGATGGAACTTCGCAGGCCGCCCCCTTTACAGGATGCCAGGAGCCAGCTCCCATCCAATCTACCAACTACTACCACTAATATTACCAAGACGACTGCTGCAACTGGTGCTGGTACTTCTACTACTGCTACTGCCACTACTACTACTACTACTACTCCTCCTCCTGCTGCTGCTGCTGCTACTACTACTACTACTACTACTGTTACTTGTACTATCCCTGCTGCTTCTGCCGCCACTTGTACCACTACCGCCATTCCGGAGCTGTGAACGATCACTTCAGGGAAGCCCTGCTTCGTTTGGTTGCGGAAATCGTGCTGTCACCTGTTCTACGTAGGCTTTGGCACAAGTGCTAGCTAACGTGCACACGGAAGCTTATAGCGTTGTAGCTGCTGCTCTGCTGCTCCTGCACGATTTCGACAGCTGCACTGGAATAATGGTTCCAGTAGCCAGCAACAATATTGTGGTACCACGTCGTTATGACATGAGCTCACTCAGCCTCCCCGTCTGGCCATGTCATCGGTGGCTTCGCACATGTTGCGTTTGGAAGTGTTTGGACATTGATATGTCTCTTCCTTGCCGGTTCACGTTTACAGTATAAGCCTGCATTCCCCAGTTTTAGGAGGATTGCATTCTGGGCAGGTTCTATGGAGCATCGCCTGTGTTGGTCAGGCCTGCAGGGTACATCGCGTGGAATTGGAAGTGATTTCTCAAACAGTGCTGTAACGTGCTTCCCAGGACAGCATGGAAAGGGTGGGGGTGCAAAAGCATCATCCCATGTTGATGGTCCCATCTCTCATCGTCATTGGCTCGCTCTGCGACACCTCCGTCTCTGCGCAGCTCCGGTCCAGCATGAGCTAAATCAGCTCGCGGTTGGGGCATAGACTAGTGGGCCTCCGCTAGAGCAGTTTTGGTCCCTCGTTGCTCTATGCGCCAGGTCACCCTTGTGGCTTGCAGCCTGGTGAACCCCTCTACGACACCTCCTGGAGAAGGCCCGGCCAGAATGACAGAATGTGCGTGCTTGTCGTTGCCACAGCTTGCAGTGAAGCATCGGACGGATCACCGGTTTACACGTAGCCGCACTGAGCCTGTAAGCTCCAAAGCTTTGCACTCCAACCTTCCTAGGCCCGGCTGTTGCATGTTGCTAGAATACTGCGTCATTGTGTGTCATTGTGCCACCCTGCGCCATGCTTTCTTGTAGAATGTCATGTGCGGCGATCGGTTTAGGGTTTACGTTAATCTGTTATATTTTGGCGATGCTATGCTGTGAGTACACATAACGCTCATATGACATGTGCAAGACCAAAAATCCTTGTATGCAGGAATACGGGCGGGAGAACTACATACCATTATAGAAATCCAGAAATGCGACCGTGCGAGGGTTATAGACATGCACATGCACATGAACAAAAAGGCTTGGTTCATTATACACAGGAAAACACGACATGATTAAGGAAGTGTTTGTGTGCACATCGGTCTTTCTCTCTCTGTGTCGAACGGCCTCTGGTTTTTGCCCATCCTGAATGTTGATCCTAAGCCGGTTCCTGAGCTTGGGGGCGGATTTGGAGCCGACTTCGGTGCGCAGGTCGAGCACCTACAGTACTTTCGGTTGCCGTATCAAATATGTGGTCGGAGTCAACACGGACATGAAGTTGCGAAACGACAGAAGTGCATCGGCCACGCAGCCAACATGAGGCCTCACACAGCCAATATAAGAGGGGAAATGAAGCTCGAAATCACGGAACTGCAGCAGATATGCACCCGAAATTGAAACCAACATGTGCAGCATGAAGTCCGACGAACAGTGAACTTGAAACAAGACATCGGAAATGACTACTAGTTACCCCAAGCCGGTATACAGCGATGCAGCGAGCGAGACGAATACGCAAATGAAGCCGGATACTATGCTAATGCAACAGTCATGCAGCCAGTAACGCAGCCGGAAAAGGGCCGATGCAAACAGACGTGATGCAGGTGACGGAAATAATCGAGTTGAGTTCGATCTGAGCGGTGTGTTTTGTGGTTCTTGTGGCCAGTCGATGCATGCGTGAACGAGTGTGAACTGGTCGCCTCAGAGGTTGATTTGCCTGACCCACAGCATTTCTGTCACTTTTCAGGTTCCTGTCACTGGAAAGCTTGGATTGCATGCACTCTTATCCTTGACGGTTGTACACCTGCGGGCTGATAGCTTAGACTTAGACCGACCTAAATACTAAACCTCTGCCAATGTCCGACCTCGAGCTTTGAAGGAACGCTCCAAACTAGTGGCACCCGGCTATTGCTGCCTTTTGCAAGCTTGAATGCACGAACTCCAAAGGCCCCATCTCTTTCCAAGAACAGAGCCCAGCCAGGATGTCGGGGTGTGAAAATCTTCCCTATCTTCCCTTCTCCCCGGCGACAAGGCCCGCATCGTTTGTCCTGAGGTTGTTTGGGGAGCTTGGGTCTTTCAGCATTTCGGCTTCTAGGCTGTTGCTTTCTTGCCGTGCCTTCTAGGGTGCTTGACACCCGAGTGCAGTCGAGTAGCTTGAAGTTAATGGCTCCGTCTCAAGTGATTGGATGAGATGAATTGCGGAACTCGGTTTGCTGCATGATGGTTCAACTCCTAAATAAGTCGAGCTCTGGCAAGATCAGCCCTGAGGCCCTACACTGGATGCATGGGCCATTTGTCCAGCTTCGTGAGGGTTTCGGACCGTGGCAAGGTACATCCGAATCCTCAACCGTTTGGCTATGGCGGCTTCGAGAAGCCCTGGCTGGATCCTGTCGCGGGAGCACGGCCACCACGCTCCAGGCAGGTTTCATGTTCGCCGTCCCTGACCCCTTCCAATCCAAGGCCCATAGATCCTCTAGAGCTTGCTTTAGCTGTGAACTTTAGGTCGAACTCATTCGGCAAGCTGGCCCAGCTCCAAACTTGAGCACCACGCAGTTGCGAAGGTCACCGCCCTGATGCTTATGCTGCTGTGCTACTGGAGCCGCAACCCTAGCAAAGTAGGTTTCTGTGACATGCGGACGGTTTTAGCAAGAGTCGAATCTAGATTCCACTGCACCGAAGTAACTTTCTTCTGTAGCGCCAGTGTTGTAAACACGTTGCGGACTTGGCATTCGCAAAGGCGAGCTTGAAAGTAGACAGTTTCCGAACTGAGCAGCTCATCCGCAACTGATAAGTCGTCGGATTGCCTTTGCAACAAGGAACTATGGATTTATTGGTTTAGCTGTACATCCCAGGCATCCATGCACCGGTTTTGACGGGATGGTTCAGGCGGACCAGACAGGCCGGAGAGTAGGATCTGCTGCTGTTCTGATGCCAGTATACACCGGTCATCGGACCATCGGGCGGTCAAGTTTCTGCCGCTGGGGATCAGCGCACAGGCCTGTATCATCCATGTTGCAAAGTTTCGGGATCAACCGCATAATAGTGCCCTACAGCAGCGTGTATCGGAAGAAGCCCACCGCTTCACGGTACCGCAACATCCGAGAAGATCCTGCTGGAGTCTTCTCATGTCTTCTGCCTTTGTGATAATGTTGTCTAGGGTGTGGAGAGAAGCTGCGTGAGGTGGATGCTACTTTGGATCTGCACCATAGCGTTCCCCCCTGCAGGTTTGTGGTCCATTGAGCCACCAGTGCGAGAGTTTCCATTCACATGCCGTAAGCGCATCATGCAAGCTATTCCTCACTTTAGGTTTCATGTGGCATCATCCGAACTTCCGCACTTGACCCTGCCTGTCGGCCTGATGTTGTGATGCTGCGAAGGAACCTTACTGAACATGTCCGGTCTCCGGGGCAGAAGTTATACTCTGCTGCTCGGAACCTCCGGCGTTCTCTGCCACGCCTGGTACTTTTTGCGTGGCTGCCCATTTTGGCATTCACGGGCTGCTGTCGTCTGGCATGGGCCTTGCACAAGACTCCCATGAAGCTTGTGAAGGTGATGTCTTTCAACGTTCGGTATAAGAATCGTGACGACGATCTTCATGGCTTCGGTTGGGAGCAGAGGCTGCCAGCAGTCGCAGATATGGTGATGCGACACTCTCCTGACATTATCGGAACCCAAGAGGGGCTGCAGCAACAAATCGGGGACATCCAGCAAAGGCTGCGTGAGAGCGGCAGCAACTATTCCGCCTGTGGGTGCCCGCGTGAGCGATTCCTGGGCCTGATACCCTGTGGAGAAACTTGCACGATCCTGTCACACAGTCCGGCAATCCGCTGCCTGCTTCAAGATTCGTTTGCCCTCTCAGAAACCCCATCCCAAATTGGCTCCAAGTCCTGGGAAACCGCCTGCCCTAGGATCGCAACCTATGCTTGGCTCCAGGTCCAGCCAAGTGCTCTGTTGGCGGCATGCCTCCTGGTCTTGAACACCCATCTGGACCATAGGTCCGAGAGCGCCCGGATCCGAGGAGCTCAGTTGATTGTCGACACCATCCAGACGTTGGAGGCAAAGCCACCTGACTGCGAGCACGCTGGAACTATCATCACAGGAGACTTCAACAGCCTCCAAAGAAATACTGCAGGGGCTGCGGAATCTGCTTTCGCTGTATTCGAGGAATCTGGGTTCAAGGATGCCTGCACCGAGTCTGGTGCTAAGAATGTGCCATTCTTGTCCTTCCACGGTTGGGATGCACACAAAGCCGCGGCTATGCGCTGCCCAGCGAAATTGAAGCAGCACGGCATATCACATGCACACATTGACTGGATATTGTGGCGCGGCTCTAGGCTGGATCTGGCCGCGTTTGAAGTTGATACTTTGATCAAAGGCTGCCCACCCTCTGACCACTTTGCGATTGTGGCAACCTTTCGCATCCAACCTGTGAAGTTTGCGCCCGGCAGGCAGCTGAAACAAGAGCAAGACCCTTCTCAGTAGCGGTTTGCAGCTGGGCCAGTCTAGCAATGTAAGTTGCAGCAGTGCAACTTGCGGCAACAGCAGTAGTAGGTGGGTAGAAACTAGTTCAATAGTCACGTCGCAGTACACCAATGAGAAGGAAGAGTAGGACCGGCAGTGGCAATGGCAAAGGGGGCAGGAGAGTCGTAGCGGGTGTAGTGGCCCGTGTGGTTGCAGTTGAACTGCCAACATTCCCGGTGCTGCTTGTGCTATGTTGTTACTATGGCTATTACAGTACCACTGCCACGACTACTCTACTCCTACTCCTGCCACACCTACTACTCCAACTACTCCTACTGCTCGTACCGCTACTCTTACTACTCCTACCTACTGCCCCTGCTCCGGGATGCAATGATACCGCTACTGCTACAACCGCTACTCCTACTCCGCCTTCTCCTACTGCTACTGCTGCACAAAGCTGCCAGAACCTCGCAAAACCAACTGCAGAGCCTTTTTCGGACCTCTGAGATAAACAGCTTTTGCAGGCGATGGTGCAAGCGTTAACACACATCGATCCCAGCCAGGCTGGGTTTGGGTTTGAGGTTGCGCATGTAAACAACCCTGTCATCCCAATGCCCCGAGTGTAGGTCCCCAAACCACTTTGAACGCAAGCTTCCTGATACTTTGTATAGGCTTTCGGCTCAGATCGGGTACGATTTAGCAGGTTCGCACGTCCTTGAGATTGGTCTTGGACTTTAAATGATTACGTTTGGGGTTGGCCAATCTTGAGCGCTGAGCCTGCTTTGAAAGTCGTATACCTAAACCTTTGCTGGGGTGTGTGAGGTGTGCAGCTTGGGCTGCTTGGGAGTTGGTGCTCAGGATACATGATGCTTTGTTCGTTTCCCAATGGTTCACCAGCTGTGTGACTGCATGTTTGTGGATTGATACCGGATCTTCGAATCTTTGCAGATGCTCGCATTTTGCTGGGACCCGACGTTTTCGCAGCCTTGCCAGGTTATCTTCTTCGATCATCCCTGTCACAGGACGCATTAGCCAAGTCCCGCCCCAGTCGCCGGTGTCATCTGCCGTGATTGCAGCAGCGGAGTGCGTGGCCCTTCAGTAGCTTTGTCAACAGCCCAAGTTGAGGTTAAAGAAGGGCTCGCTCAGACCCTATAGGCACATAAGACTCGCAGATCTGGCAATCACTGCAGTTGCCCAGCTCTGGGAGGACGCTACCTGCGTCCCCTGAATTCGCTGCCTTACCGGTCAACTGCAAGACCGGCAAAGATGCTGAATCGTAGTTCGTTAACGCAGCTCACACAGGCATGCCCCCACAGTACGGGTCAAAAACCCAAAGCGTCTTCCATGCTCATCTTAAGCTAAACGTTCCATGCCAGATTGTACATTCGAACTTCGGATGAGTATTCGCTTTTTGGTGATGCTAGTGATCCGATTGCGATTCCGCGACGAAAGACTGTATAGCTGAATCCTTCGTATTCGTTTTTTGTGAGGTACAAAATCGACGAGTCTAGCTTATGCCCGACCCCCTTCGAGACCTGTTACTCTCGAGACCACATCGCCACACTAATACCCAGCATCTCAAGAACTCAAACATACCAGAATGAAGCGCATGCTACCGGTGTAGCCAGAGTAATGACAGGATCGTTGCAGGGTCATAATGAACATGCATCGGCATGTTTGTACATCTCCTGCCTCTCTCTTTGATTCGCTGTCAGTCTTTTTTCCTTGACGTCTCTGGGTCTATGTTCTCCTCCACCGGCAAGCTGCATTTACATCCGCATCGACGTGACAGAAGCCGTTCCGGCGCAGTGTCTCGTTTTCTGTCCTGGTGGCTTGATTTCCCGCATCCTCTTGCCTAGCAACAATTGCATTTCCTATCCTACTCCGTCAAAGTTGTGAGACTGTGCGAACGCCTGCACCTAGTTCCTGCGATCAACGGAGGCTCCAAAGAAGGCTGATGGCTAAGCAGTTCGGCCTCCACTCCAACTCCGTGACCCACTCCAACCCAAGCCGCCCTGGCGGCTCGAATGCCTTGTTGTCTGGCTGGCCATCAGCTTTCGCTTGCGTGTTCCAGCCCCTCACGATCTTTGGTGAAGGCGTGGATTGGTCAGATGACGATGTCTCAAACTGCCAAGGGCTACCTGCAGGCTTAAGTTGCCCACGTCTTTGTGTTTACACCCGGTTCGCAGCAATGGTAGATGACTACAACCGGCGCTCTTTGAGACGTCGCTGCACAAGCCCAGTTCGGAGCAAGTTGCGCTTGCGCAGCCAGTCTGTCAGTTATGGGGCTTCTGAGACTCGGGTTCTACGAAATGCCAAGCTCGCCTTACCGGTGCTATATCGTGTTATACATATCAAGACTCATATCAAGCCTGAGCGGGAAAAGGGCCAGGCCCTTATCGCAAGCCCCGATAACATGAAACATGGGTGACCTGAATATGGGGCTTCAGTACGACTCTGCTGCGACAGACTGGCCCTAAGTTTTTCTGAAAGTTTTTCAAGCCCCCGAGCCAGCAACGACCTCCCCGCCAAGTTCTTGATGTTCTCTAGGTTCAAGCACACCTCTGTTTTGAGCTGCAGGCAACCACAGCAATTCAAGCAACCAGAAGTGGACACTTGGCACATGTGCCGTGTTTGCTGTTGCTACCGGCACCAGTGCGACATCATCTTCATCCGAACACGAAGGAATGCAAAGCGCTGGCTGCATGTCGCTGCTCACATTGCGTGTTAAGACTAGATTCAATGCGGATGCTGGCTGTCTCCATGGGCTTTTGGTGCAGGCAGTGTTCGTATCTCGTGCATTACGCGGTCTGTCCATCGGCTCCCCAGCTGTGCTGTGCTCGGAGCCTGCAGACAGTTGGGATGCTGTAGGCGAGCTCTTCAACGCCTGCTTCGCAACAGCTGTAGAGGAGTCCAATCAAGAGCGAGCATCGGCGTAACTACTGAGGTGGCACAGGTTCCGGCAGAAAGGCGCCTCACATTTGCGGCAACTGATGCTGCGAATGCAGAGTCCAGCCGCAGAGTCAAGGCCACACCTTCTGCACAGCTTGCAGCGCAGGTAGCCTTGTTGATGTAGACACCGATTAGCCACAGAGCCTGCGACGCGCTTGCCACACAGCTACAGATGCCCGTGTGTGAACACTGTGAGCATCTCTCCTCTCAATTCTCATCGTTTGCATTCCCACCTCGCTTCGCCAGAATCTCAGCAGGTTTCGGGGCATCCAGCATGTGCACCAACCGGGTCATGCAAAGCAAGGTTTGGATGGAAGACATCGACGATGCAATGGCCCGAGGATAAAATCAGATTGATGCCAGGCTTGCCCGAATCATTGCGCCGAACATAGCAGCGCTAAGCCCAGGTGCTACAACGATGGCAGAGCCTCAAGCCCGACGGCGCCGTCTTTCGTGTGCCTGGCCAGCTGAACCTGACCACAGCATTTCTTCTGCCCCAGATCCCTAGTCGAGATTTTTGGCTTTGTCAATTCCTCGTTATGCTCGGCGTATTTCTGCGTGTGGTGCTGTAGCAGGCCGAGTGTCTGGACGATGCTGTCTCCATGGTGAGCCTCTTGGCTTTCCAAATGGTTTCAGCTCAGGGCGGTGGTGAATGGCGACTGGAGTCTGCATGGTAAACAACAAGGACGACGACGAGCACAACAACAGCGACGACAACAGCAACAAGACTACCTTACAATAACAACAACATCATCATCATCATTAACGGCAGAAACAGCAACGAGAGCGACAACAGCGACAACCAATACCACCGCCACCACCACCACACCACCACCGCGACCACCGTAATCCTAGCACCAGCACCACCAGCAGCAGCACCACCAGAACCACCACCACGACCACGAACACCACCGCCACCGCCACCACCACCAACACCAACACCACTAGCTCTACGTCTGCCACTACCACTAATACCAGACTACCAGACTGCCACTGCGACTGCTCCTGCTCCTGCTCTTGCTCTTGCTCCTGCTCCTGCTGCTGCTTCTGCTGCTGCTGCTGCTCCTGCCGCTGCTGCTGCTGCTACTACTGCTGCTGCTACTCTACCACTACTCACTACTACTACAACGACGACTACTACAGTACTACTCCTGCTGCTGCTGCTGCTCCTACTACTACTACTACCACTACTGCTACTACTACTACTACTACTACTACTACTACTACTACTACTACTACTACTACTACTACTACTACTACTATTAAGAATGATAAGAATAAAGTGCCAAAGAAATCTCTCTCTCCATGGTTCCAGGCAACATCATTTCGGAGTCCGGTGCAGAGAGGTGTCTGCAGCGCAAAGCACTCATGCTTCCAGGCTGACTTTGATTTCCGAGCGGGGGTTGCTGTCCAAGACCCTGTCGGGAAAGTTTGAGAGCTGTAGGTTTTGGCTAAGGCTGCTGCGGCCGGACAGTGAGATCAACGTTCCGTTGATGATCCAGCTGCTGCAAATTGATGAATCATTTGAGTTTTCGGAGGCGCTGGGGTCCCATGAGCTGTCACACCACCAGGATCCCGTCGATTGCTGCTTCCTGGAAAGGTCAAAAAGTCCTGCACCACATCTCAACATCCTCCTGCCCAATCTGCCGTGGTGTACTTTCCCTACTTCTGGCAGGCTCGCCCGAGAAGTGTCGCTTGAGAAGGTTGCCTTGCGGGCACAGATCAAGGGTTTGACAGAAAGGTCGAGGGGATTTGATGTCAGGTGCTAGCCTCCTTCCGCAACGATCAGCCCTGCAGCCAGACTCGCGAAATGCAATTGAGACGAATCAGCGAGGTTTACCTGTATGCATCTAATCAAGCAGGAGAGCCCCCAAGTCAGTGAAATTTGCTTGTTGGTTCCACGCTCCATCTGCAAGCATCCATTCGATGCATCACTGCTGATACTGGTTTTGTGTCGTTCCAGCAAGCACTGCGGACTGGCCAAGCACGAGTCCCCGGCAAACGTAATCCTGTCTGCAAACGAGGTTTGCTGTGTGCTGAGCCTTTGACCCATTAAGACGGCAAAGCTGCATCAACAAAGGCACTGAGATTCCCCAGAGCCCTTTTGTGAAAGCATTTCCTGGAAGGCCATGCAAGAGCTTCAGATGCGATTGTTCCCGCGAGAGGGAAGAGCCCCCATTGCCATAGAGGTGCATCCGGGTTTTCTTTGGCGCTGTTGGAGCAAATATGGTCTTCATAATGATAGTCACCATGATCCAAAGCACTGTCTCCGTCATCATCACCATCAACAACACCGTCAGAATTGCAAAGATTAGCACCATCAGCTCATCAACATTGCAACCATGATCGTTGCCACCACCATCACCAGAATCAGCATCGGCACCATGCTTACGGTTACTTCTCTTCACAGGTTGTTTTCAGATGTTTTTTGCCTCGCCATTCTCGGAGTCAATGCAAACTCCAGGGATAGTCTTGTCAGTGTAAAGCTTACAATGTGTGTCGGTCAGACAGCCGTGATCCAGAGGCCCACAGATTTTTGCAACCCGAGAGCTGTCAAGGCCGCCAGCTTCCGGGATGCGGTCCTAGACCTGGCAGCCACCGGCAGCCTCACCACTGCCGGCTTCGCAGATCTCATCGTCGAATCTCTGACGAAAAGCATGCTGCTGCAACTACTGCGGCTACAAGAGCAACTACTACTACCACGACGACGACTACTACTACTGCGACTACTGCTACTGCTGCTGCTGCTGCTACTGCTACTCCTACTACTACTTCTTCTTCTTCTACTACTACTGCTACCCTACTACTACTACTACTACTACTACTACTACTACTGCTACTACTACTGCTACTACTACTACTACTCCTACTACTCCTACTACTCCTACTACTCCTACTACTCCTACTACTACTACTACTACTACTACTACTACTACTACTACTACTACTACTACTACCCCCTACTCCTACTGCTACTGCTACTGCTACTGCTACTGCTCCTGCTGCTGCTACTACTACTACTACTGCTACTGCTACTGCTACTGCTACTGCTACGACTACTACTACTACTACTACTACTACTACTACTACTACTACTACTACTACTACTACTACTACTACTACTACTACTACTACTACTACTACTACTACTACTACTACTACTACTACTACTACTACTACTACTACTACTACTACTACTACTACTACTACTACTACTACTGCTACTGCTACTGCTACTGATACTGCTACTGCTACTGCTACTTCTACTGCTACTGCTACTGCTACTGCTACTGCTACTGCTACTGCTACTGCTACTGCTACTGCTACTGCTACTGCTGCTGCTACTTCTGCTGCTGCTGCTACTACTACTGCTTCCACTTCCATTTCTACTTCTACTTCTACTAGTCCTACTAGGAGCAGTAGTAGGAGTAGTAGTAGATAGTAGTAGCGAAGTAGTCGTAGTAGTAGTAGCAGCAGGAGTAGTAGTAGTAGTAGTAGTAGTAGTAGTAGTAGTAGTAGTAGTAGTAGTAGTAGTCGTAGTAGTAGTAGTAGTAGTAGTAGTAGTAGTAGTAGTAGTAGTAGTAGTAGTAGTAGTAGTAGTAGTAGTAGTAGTAGTAGTAGTAGTAGTAGTAGTAGTAGTAGTAGTAGTAGTAGTAGTAGTAGTAGTAGTAGTAGTAGTAGTAGTAGTAGTAGTAGTAGTAGTAGTAGTAGTAGTAGTAGTAGTAGTAGTAGTAGTAGTAGTAGTAGTAGTAGTAGTAGTAGTAGTAGTAGTAGTAGTAGTAGTAGTAGTAGTAGTAGTAGTAGTAGTAGTAGTAGTAGTAGTAGTAGTAGTAGTAGTAGTAGTAGTAGTAGTAGTAGTAGTAGTAGTAGTAGGAGCAGCAGTAGCAGCAGCTGTAGCTGCAGGGCCAGGGGCAGGGGCAGGGGCAGGGCAAGCAGAAGAAGTAGAGTATGTGTTTTGTGTTATGATGTCTGCATGATGCGACAAAGCTACCAGGTAAGCCAGAAAGATTCGTTGGACCACCGAGCCTGGGACCGATTGCTGGAAGCTGCCCACTTCTTGGTTGAACAGGACGAGGGATCTTCCGAATTCTGGTGGCTCACTCTTCGAGTAGAACTTAGGATTTGGAAGGTTAAGGCCTGATTGGTGGGTTGTCTGATTTATGAGTTCGCTTCCCGCAAGAAAGCCTGTGGATATGGCCTAGGCAAAGTTTTCCAGATTTGACGGGGTTGAACTCGCGCATTAGCTGCGTCTGAAGATTCCATCTTCCTGGCAGCAGGAGAGGCCCAAGACGGCAGAACGACAGCCACAGACGTCCGCGGAGACGCTGCAGCAAATGACGTGCTCGCACAAGCCCATACACATGGCTATTCTGGCCACAATACTCTTTACGTGGCTCTTCGAGCTGTGCGAAGACTACTGCAGAGGCTGGAGTTACCGGGACTGTGGCCCGTGGGGAGCTTCAGACATAAGCGCGTGAGGCTGCGTGCCAAGTCACCCCAGGTCACAACAGGCGGCACCAGTCTGTGTTCAAATCCGTTGGCCACGGCCACTTGAAGCAGGGCATGCAGCACTATGCATGCTGAGCAACGAAATCGCAAACACCTCAATGGCCGGTTGACTGCAAAAACCTTTTTAATCCTGTGCATTACACCCGCATGAAACCCAGTACCAGCTCGGTGCCCGACTTTGGTGCTGAACTCCGCCTATGGAGGCAACAAAGCCGCTCTGCTCCGGTCGGTCCGTGACGTTCTTGGCTGCTCCTCCCGAGAGGCACCTTCGATCCTAAGAGTTGGTTGTTTGGCTGGTCTTGTTTTTGGGTGTCGAGTTCCGAGCTTCGAGCTTTGCACAACATCTCCGCACAGAACCTTCACCCTTTCAGTGCCAGTGATGACTTCTTAACACCGCAGCCGAAAGACGAAATCATGCTCAGAGAACCTTGTGAAAAGGTTTTAACTTTGTAGTGATTTGTCAATGCCGGCAATGCTACTGGCATCCTTAGTCTGCAGCGGAAGGCTTTCGTCCACCTAGCCGCTGCGCATTGGGACCTGGAGGGGGCCCTCCGGCACTATGACTTGCAAAGCAAGCCGCATACCTGCACCGAGACGTTTTGGCGGGCAGCAGGTCACACTCCTGGGATGGTAGAGGTACCAAGACGATGTGCCTTTCCGGCTGTTTGTGTTTGTTCTCCAAGCTCCCTCCACTTCTTATCAGTCCTATGTGAGGTTGAACACGCTGGACGCTCTTGAGGTGGGGCATTAAACCCAGCAGCTGCCGGAAGTCCAAATCTCTACAAAGCTCGTTAGGCTTGCCGGCCAGATGCTTCGGGGTGGAATTCGCATCTTGGCTCAATCCCAAGTGGAGCCAAGAGCATCCTCGGTTATTTAGGTTGGTCTGCACAAGCAGATAGCAGTGCAGTCATAGTCACCCCACTCTCCGAGTGCAGCTTGCTCTAGGACTCTAGGCCTCAAGAATAAGAAGGTGTATGACAAATATGTTCTGACAATCCCTTCATGGCCCTTGGTCAGAGGCATGCAGCCAAGCTGAGAAAGGCCGAACGCCCGAATCCCAGTATTTCGAAGTGCATTCATGTCTCTGCGCGAAGGTTGTATTGAACTTGAGGCGACTGTCCTATCTGTGCATGCGATTTTTGCATCGGTTCCGAGCCCATCGCCGCCCCCTTACAAGCCGCTGGCTCTTCGGGACATGTGAAGCTGCCGTAGACTTATAGAAAGCGCAGTCAGGTCACTTCCTGCTGCTTCAAAGCCATTTGCGCGTTTCGGGCCAAGTTTTTCAGCGCTGCGCTTGCCTTTTACAGTGCTGTTGCCTGCGTGGAGCAGATGTCCCGGCTTCTGGAAGTGCGACAAGCCAATAGACAAGAGAGGGAGTTGCGTACGGATCGTCAGCTAAAAGTGTCGCAACAGATCTATCGGCAGCTTTCACACAGACCGCCAACGATTAGCTCCGCATAAGGCACTGCGTTGCTGTGCTCGTGGCTGCTGGTAGCACCGACGGCATTCTGTGGGCACCCCAATCTGCTGAACTGCTGAGTGGAAGTAGGGCCAGCGTGAACGTTACCGGCTACCTTGGTGGATGTTTCGATACGATAAACAAAATCAATTAGACTGGTTAGTGTAACCGCTGTAAGAGACTTCGTCGCTGTCGCAGTCCCTATCGAGCTTGTCTTCTCATAAGTTCATCGTCAGATGTTACTTCGTTGCCTTCCGCTTCAGCCCTTGTAGTCGAGGCTTTGCCCTTTCTGCAGACAAAGCTCCGACGTCCCGACCGGCACCCAGAAGACTAGCAGCGACCAAGTCTGTTTGCTGGCAAAGGCATATTACATATAGGCAGATAGCCGTCGGGCTTGTGCAGGCAATGCATGAGCGCAGGGGAGAGGTCCTGTTGCTGCAGCATTGAGCTCAAGATTAATTACTTCCTCTGACTTCACTATCGCATGGAGAATCCCCAAGCTGCCTGGATGAAATGACCAGCCTCGTCAGCGTTCTTGTCTTTACATGTGACGACACCTATGAGTGGCCGTCCACATTCAGCGTGAGTGAGGTGCCTGAAGAAGTTCCAGTTCCTGAAGTCAGCTTTGAGCGGCTTACCTGGCAGTCGGGCGAGCCCTCGCAAGGGTGCGCGCAGATAACTGCTGCTTCTTCTTCTACTACCTCCTCCCCCTATTGCTACTGCCACTACTACTGCTCTCCTGCTTCTGCTCCTGCTCCTCCTGCTATGTTTATAATTATTACTGCTACTGTCACCATTACTACTATTACTACTATTACTATTATTACTTCTCCTGCTTCTACTCCTACTACTACCACCACCGCACACGGCCACGGCCACGGCCGCCGCCGGTACCACCACCACTCTCCCACTACCGCCATGACTATCAGTACGACGATGACATATCCATACATGGGCAGCGGATGAGAGCAATTTCGCTTTGCGTGTAAACAGTGCAGTTCATCTTCGATGGATTTCAGCCCGGCCCGTGCAGGCACTCCCTCTTGGTCTTGACGTTGCACCAGTCCCAGCTCACAATCCACAGCACCCGGCCCATCACAGATGACTTGATTGAGGCCAGTTCAAGTTGTTCGTTGTTCTTGTCCATTGACGACTTTGCACATTCGCATGAAGCTGCGCAGAAAACCCATGATCTAGACACTGGGGAAATTTGCTTCGGCTTTCGCAGATCCGGGAGTGAGATTATCCGTCTTCCCTGTGCTAATTACATCTCATTCTTGAGGTGCTCCAAGCAATCGGCTTCGCCGTGCCGCGGCAGACCCGACTCCTGAAGAAAGCCCGCATTGGCGGAGCGTGAGGAACGGAAGCTCCCTGATCTCCGCGTCGCCCAATGCATCACGAAGCCGGCAACGGCACATCATGATCTTGACAAGATCCACATTTCTGTAGATGCATCTACCTCAGAGTACTACCTCTCTTCGACAACGACACCAAGGCCCAGAACAGAAGCAAAGCCGCATGACATGCAGCGCGAAGCCTCATGACCCGACATCCAGTGCAGATCTGGATTCGGAGTATCCGGGGATGCTTCACGAAAAGACCCCCACCTGGGGCGATCTTAAACTATACAGCAGCCAAGCAGGCTCAAGAATGCCTTGGACGCGTTCGCCAAAAGGGTCCGGCGACTTCGTTGTAGCAAGCAAGAGACTGAGGATTGCGAAGGTTTGTGACCCTCTTGGCAGAGAACGGGCCGGACGCCACTTCACGTGCAGACGATTATGATTTTATGCACGTTTGACGGCGATCCAACTGGCAGTCGTTTGCATCTTCCCACAACAGCAGACGACCCAAGGTTTCTCACCAGCTAAGCTCCCCGAAAACTGTCTTGAAAAAACCAAGAGATGTGACAGTGTGTATGCGAACAGTGTGCCCCAAGTGCGGGAGTTAGGGTGCAGAGACTCTTGGCAGAAGCTTCGATAGGGTTCAGCGTGCCCGAGGATACGGTAAAGACATGCAGAGAGATATCTCTGGTTCAAACCTCGGCTCATGATTTCTTGGTGTTCTGCATTCTTAGCCGGTGATCGAATTTCGCTGAGGCTGCAGCACGCTAGCCTCATAATTCCCAGCACCGGAGCATGCTCCTCACCTCACTGATGTTGCTCCAGTCCAACAGACCTGAGAGTGTGCAGCAGCTTGCAGTGTAGCGATGGAGGGAGGGAACCTTCTTGCCTTGCCACAAATCTCAGCACTCCTGCTCAAGTCAGGATATGCACGTTTCCGGGTTGCTTCGGAAACTCTCGCATCAATGCTTTAAGCTTTCCGTCACACTGCGTCCGATGCATCATAAATCTAAAACTACATCCAGTCATCCGACCGATGGAGTGAAAGCTTTGTCGTTGTAGAAGCTGAAGCCTCGTACTTCAACCCCTTAAGGCTTAAGACATCTTGGGCCTTGGCTATCGGCGAAATAAAGCCCCTAAGCGTGAAATGTCAACCCCAAACCTCTCCCAAGTTGGGAATCCTCTGGAATGGTTGCAATTCGTTTGGGCATATGTGATCGGACCGCAGCGTGGCTGGAGAATCAGGGCCCTGAATACCTTGCGGACTTCACCGCAGGCCCAGTGACATCCAGTCATCTTTTCAATCCAGCATTTGAAGATTTGTACCTCTCCAACAGTACAATTATGGTTCTCAGAGCTGCTGTATCTGACGTTGATGTAGCTGCTCTGGCTGTACATATTCACCGGAGGCAGCCGCCGACCGCAAGACGTGTGGGTGTGAGGATTGGGTCTTCGGAGTCTTGGGATGAAAACTGCAGTATGTGGATCTTTGGTGGCCCAAGGAATATGAGTCAGAAACAAGAACACTACATTTTGATGAGCCCACACGGCTTGACTCGATTGGTAGAGGCAGCTCTGGCATCTCTTATCTGTCGACCGAAAAAATCTGAAGGCAGTTGGCTCAGGGATTAAGGACACGTCGTTCCTGTCGTTGAACGACAAGTCCAGCTGCTAGCCAAACACCATCTCATGCCGTGCCTTAGCCGGGCAGCACCCTCGGGTGATTCCAAACTTCGTGCTCTGCTGCTCAGGACCGTCAGGAGGGGCCACCTTCCAGAGATCTCAAGCGCGGCAGCAGCGCCGGAGGTTTGCTGACCAAGCAAGAATGCATTTCCCGTTGTAGTACAATGGAATATTGCAGCGGGGCTAAAATACAGAATCCTGATAATGTTGACGCACGTTGCTCCACACTCTCAAACCTAATTGGAGATCTCACCCACCGCACCATCTGTACTCTGAAGTACCGCATCAGGGCTGGGTCCGATCTCAGTTTGTCATGTGCAGCTCGGATGTCAAACGGTTGTGTATGTTTTGCCACTCGAAATCTATCCTGTCTATCCTGTACCCTGTACACTTGTACCTCTGCTGTGCAGACCTCCAACCCTCCTGCATTCCAAGTCACAATGCCCGGAGGCCTGAATCCACCAGTCACCAGCTCCCCTTGGCTTCACTGTCCGCGTCGCTTTCCCGTGACCCCAGGACCCGATTGAGCAGCTTGCCGATGCAGCTTACAGCTCCGAGCTCAGCCGGGGCAGCGCGTGGGTCACGAATTGTAGTATACCGGAGAATGAATGTCACGGCACCAAAAAGCCGGGCGTGCTGCCGTGCTGCAGGTCTGGCGTGCTCGGTGCTGACGGTTGGCGGCACGCTCTTGGAGGAGCTCAGGCCGCCCCCATGGGCCGGGGCCGCTCCATTCGAGGTTTAGGCCCTTAGGCAATTCCATACTCTTCGTGAGCAGACACCCGACACCCCGCTCGGAGGGCTCCAGAGCAGGCGCTCGCTTTCGCTCCGTGTTTAACCGCTGAAGACTTGGACCGCAAACTCTGGCTCTGCTGTGGGCATCGGAGGAAGCTGCTGCGATATGCCGACGACCCGCACTGGCCCTGCACTCGGACCGATGTTCTACTGTATGCTAGTCCGCTAGTTGTACAACGAGTATGATGTTCAAGATTTCTCTTAGTCGCCATGGTGGGTCTGCACAGCCAATTCGCGACTAGTTGGCAATCTCAAATCGGTGTCAGCTAAACCGCCGTCGCCTGTTGTGCTTCTACTCGAGAACATATGTCCATACAGATTGCCGTCGCATCGAGCTCCCGACACTGCAGCTGGTGTTTGCAGCTCAAGACTGAGGCTGTCTAGCACCGTCCAGAACGCATCGCTGATGAACACCGTAGACGTGCGGCTGAACGTCGTCCTGCCCTTTCCACCACGGGAGCTCCTTGGCTGCAGTGCTCGCACCATTGCTTCCTGTGCATCTGCGTCCACAACTCCAAGATATTGGCAAAGGCAGATGCTTTTGATACACGTACCAGCAGTTTCTCCTGGTGCTTCTGTGGTGTTCTGATTGTCGTGCTGGCACGTCACCGACGGGTGAGTGCTTCGGAATGGTGAGGTTTGATGCAGTTGAGACGACCTGCTCGCGGTTTTGTTTGCTGACGAAAGAAAGAGATCGTAGGAGTTTCAGCATTTGCCATACTTTGCTATCCCGACCACAGAAGACATCTCAGTCTAAGGAGCAGGCTGGTGGGATCACGCTGACCTCAGATCGCTGAGAGCCGCACGCAGCCGTGACGCAGACCCTTCAGTGAAATCTAGATAACATCTCTTGCTAGGTGCTGGAGTTTCGGAAAGTCAGTTTCAGCTATAGATCTTACATAGACGGAGACATCCATGTATCCATCCATCCGTCCATGCATGCATGCATAATGTTTCTATACACATCTGTTCTTACACAACGAAGCCAAGCATCATTCACAATCGTGAACAAGGACTTCCTCGCCCGGGAAGCGCTATTTGCCAATGTGCCACTTGGAATTCCTTTCTGCAGCCCGCAATTCCTCATTGCGAGCTGAGGATTGGCCTCAGCAGTTCCTTGCATGTTCAAGCCGGTTCGATGACAAAGAAGCAGAATGAAAGTCTAGTTTCTGCTACTGGATGCGAACATGCCTGGCTCTTTCTGCAGAGCGACTGACAACAGTTGGCTCTGCAGATGCATTCATGGAGCGCAGCTAAGCTGGCAAAACAAATAGGATGCTCTTATGCCTGCAGAGACAGGCGCTGCATCGGCCCCCGTCAAAAGGCTCGCTGCAGCGCTGCGAAACTAATCACCTCTGACTCTATTCCCTCCCTGCCTCCCGTCGTCCCATGGACCTGATTGGATCACACAACGCCAACCTTCAGCTTTCCACAACGCCCACCAAGCCAATGGGCCACTGGAGACTTCAACCGCGACTCGGCATCAAGCTTCCAGCAGATTCCTACGAGCAGGCCATGCGCCTCGCCTGCGAAGAGGCGCGGCTGCGACAAGAAGCTGCCGAGGAGCCTCTCGGGGCATTCCTCGGTCCTTTATTGGGTTTTGGGACTTTCGGCTATGGCTTAGGCTTGGATTTGGACTGCTTCTGCCGCTTTCAGGGCTTTTCTGTCAGCAGGGCTTGCCGACCAAATTGGTACAACAATGGCTGCCATTACTGACTTGGTCTACGCCGTGTACATCTTTACAGCATCGTTAAGATACGTACTTGTAGCTTCCTGCGAGCTTTGCGATCTCGGAAAACTAATCCACTCAAACACTGATTGCTCAGCCACAATGACGTCGTCGCTGCTCTGATGGACATACATACCAACTCTCCGATGTTGTCACCTCCATTTGTTCTCTGACCACCGTGGCGGTACCAACCTTCCCTTACCTTGTGTACTTGGAGAGGGTCGTTACATCGGGGGGTTCATCCAAAGTACATTTCCGGCTGTCTACTAGGCTTCCCAGTACATTCATTTTCCGTGGGACGTTCCAGCTGAGCCAGTGTACTTGGGGGTCTTCGGTCATCGACCCTCGGACCAACATACAGCAACGAATAATTCACATAGTTAAGGGGCCGCACCAAAAATAAACTGCTAGTATAAAGGTGTAAAATGGTGTAAATCACCACAGGGCCAGTCTGATCTGTTGGAAGCGAAGTTTGGGGGCCACGGCCAGGCCTATGCACGGGAATCTGCGGAGAACCGGAGGCCTTTCCGGCTCGCTTTTCGATTTGTCGCTGAGAGCACTTTGGGACGCCATACCGTAAGGTTCGGAGATGAAGATGCTGCTGCAGCCGAGCAACAGACGCAAGGCGGCGGAACTTCGGAGTCAAGGACTTGAGAGTGGAAAGGCGTTTGGCGCCGGCGTCTACGTTCGGAACGGACGAACAGCCATAAAGGGCCCATAACAACCCGCCTGTGCTTTTCGTTTGGTAAGGACCTCGGCATTTGCTTTCGATTGTCAAGCGGGCTAATACACGGCTGCGCATATTTTGTAACCACTTTGACGGCGGCCTCTTGCGGAACGGAGTAATTGTAAGGACTTTGCCGCGACCCGGTCGTGGCCGCGCTTCCCACTGCCGGGAAGCACCAAACCCACGAGTTGCAACGGCCTCTGTCGGCCTCTGTTCTTGACAGTAGATTAGATACGGACAGCTAGGACGAGGAGCAGTATGTGCTCACCTCGATGACATTCCGTACAAGTAGCATGAGAAGGAACCAGAGCCACTGCCGCCGACATATGAAACCGTCATCCTGCGCTCCATCCTTGTCATCAGCATTTCAGCTGCACTAGCCACTACAGTATTGCCATCATAATCATCCCCAGCATCATCATGATGACTATCTTTGTGAAGTGCGGCAAGCTTGTCGCAGGTTCGCTTGAAGCATCCGCTGCGGAAGTCGCGGTGCCCCCCGAGGTCGTGCCTCTTAAACTTCATTTGTGGCGCAGACGACTTCTTCTAAGTGGGACTTCGGAGTTCAAAAAAGTAGAGCCCTGTTCCCTTCGTCATGTGCTGATGTCCACTCCCATGAGCGAAAAGTCTTGTGCTGCGCACCGCCTCCCGGAGCAGATATCGGGGCTCCGGTGTGCTTCGCGGCCCATTTGTGCTTGGCTGAGGCGGTGCTGACAGTGAATGCTGCTTGTACATAGAATCTTGTGATTTGTGGTCTGGTAGAGGACGGAACTTGAAACAAGCTAGCGAAACCTAGCTCAATGCAATGTGTTTGGCTAGAAAACTCTTGGTTGTGTGGTAGATTCCGTGCTTTGAGATGCTACAACTGAGTTAAGAGAATTCGTTGGAGCACAGTGTACAAATTGCAAGATCGACTCGATGGATGCCCGGCACTGCAAAACAGACACTGTTCAGCTATCGGGGCTGCTGGACTCCCTCGAAATCTCCAGCAATGCATGGAAACCTCCAACCAAACCCCTGGACGTCCTGACTGCAGGGGACCCTCGGGGCATGGCCGGTTCCAGGGTGACAACCATGTTGAACTTGCAACGCCACATGAAGTTTCTATGCCTAAGGGGCAAGCAGCCATGGCCAGGGTCGCACTCCAAACTGGTAAACTGAGGAACTGAGAAACACTCTGCTCAACATAACTTCGGTGCAGCTGGCAGTCGTGTATCCACCAACGCAGCACGTTGCCGAAAACGTGGCAAGCATCTCGACTCCGGATTGCATGTGAAAGTCCGCGAATTTGACTCGTCGTCCGTCAGCTTGGCAATGCTTGGCAGCAGAAGGTAGCAGTCCACTTGTTAGCCATTATAGACCTGCCGCCCTCGTAGCTAGCGGGTGGATCTGGGATCCAGGTTAAACTCTCGCACGCGGATGCATCACGGCAACAACAACACAAGATGTGTCGCGCTGTATCCATGACTGCTGATCCACGGACACTTAGGAAAATACTGTCTCTGCGGTAGGCAATGTTTTGCAGGACGTGACACCAATGACCCCAATTTGTAGCCTTCGAGACAACAGACGTATCGGTATCGGCATGACCCAGACTTGACCCGAATCGATCCCCTGAGGAACACAAGCTTACGCGACCTAAACCCTCCGCCCTGAGCAGTTCACCGCAAGCCCGCTGGCCTGAAAAACGGAGGGTACATCAATCGGAAACAAACAGGCAAGAACTCGACACCACGGCATACTCACCGTAGCTGTGCCACGCGCCGGCACGTCAGGCTTCAGGCACACTGTGGGCGTACGTCGCACCTCTCAAAGCCTACGCAGAAGCCTCATACCAAAACCCTAGAGCGTGCTCGTACTGCGATAATCAGTGCTAACAACAGCAATGATACTGAATCAGACCGGTATCACTGTCTTCGGAAAGCTCCATGCTAAAATCATGTGAGCTAGCGCTGCTAATCGAAAAAGACTGTTCCAGAACCGAACCTCCCCGAGCTGATACCTGCGCAACTGGAACGTCCGCATTCCAATGCGGCATCGTGAAGTCTTTGCATCTCGTTATGGAACAGCGCGGCCAACAAATTGATGCTATCTGTATGTGGCAATGCCGAAACTTGCAATTGCATCTCCAATGTCAAGCTGCATCGGGTTGCCCAGCTGTTCCTATGAAAAACACTAGCGATGCGCAAGGCAACCAGCCGTCCGAAATTACGGCGAAGTCGATTTGCGAAAACTGTGTCCGTGACAGGGCCGACCCGGGATGCGATCCGACCTTGCTTTCCATTTTTCAATCTGCGTATGCACTGTGTACGGAGTACGGAGTTTCCCACGAATTTTTGAATAACTTTTGCAAACCAAACAGAACTTCCTGGCAGCTCGCTCCATTGTCTGTCCTGGGTGACCCACACTTCCATGCTGGATGCGCAAACTGTGCAACGGTGCAATTGTGATCATGCTGGGCTTGGAGACTTTCACGGCGCAACTTCTGTTCAAATCTTTGCCTCTCACAAAGAGAAGTCCGAAGCTGTTCCACCAGGCTTTTCAGTTTCTGTCGCGTCCTGGCGTATCCTCCAAGCTCGCTGTCGAAGCGCCCCCTGACAAATCTCACTCCTGTGACTGGACTGGAGCGACATTTCCCTCACTTACAGAGCCATGGGTTCGATGTCGGATCGCAGCAGTCAGATGTGCGATGCCGAGCGTGCGTGCATGCGCCAGCCGAGGAACCACAAGGCGCGTTACCGCCTACAATGCGCGACCATTTGCGCATGCCAAGGCAGCACCAGTGCGCAGTATAAGAGCTAGCCGGCCATTGCGCCTGTCGAGGCTGCACCGGCTGCGGATGACTGGGGAAGCCCAAGCTGTACTCGTACCCGCTGCCGTGCATGGACAGGCGAACGGCCATCCAGAGCACGTCCCTGCTAAAAGAATCTACGGCGACAACCAATTCCAGGTTGCACCTCCACCCCACCTACTGCACGCAGACACCTCGGACCATCTGTCGAACCGGACCACTTCTGCGCTCGCTTGGACCCGTGCGGCATTCTGCGGTTGCACTAGAAGAGATGCACACCTGCCGCACGGCAGACCGCGTTGCAAGCATAAAAAACGCAGAGCGGGCCTCCGCTGTGTGGTTCTCATGCATGCCCGTTGGGCGCACCGTGCACCCCTATGAAGACCCGGAAGCCGCACGGCGGGCGCATGCAGCGACCGCCCGGCCCGGGTCTGCATTGGCATGGTTACAAAGATGTGTGTTTTTGTTGTCTGGTGCAGCCCTGCGGCTGTTGGTCACGTTGACATCGGCACCGTTGTGCGCCAAGGATCTTTTTTTTTTCGGGCTCGCGCCATGCTTCGGACTTTTGCCCTTCTCGCCAGGCCAGCCCCTGCTCCATCACCTTTTCAGTTGATTTTCCATAAGCGCGTTGAACCACTTTGCCCGGGGCGCCATGCTTGGTGGCTTCACGAGGCTTCAGAACGAAACAGACATACGTGGTGGGGTGGGCGCTGGTGGGCGGCTTTTCGCCAGCAGGGTTCAAGCTCCAAGTTTTAATGTAGCATGAAACACATTCAACAAAGCGGCTTTGACCACGACCTTGCAACAGCTAGGCGAATCTTGTGAGGCCGCGACGAAACACCGGCGTATACCGGCGTCGTGTGTGCGATTGTTGTTTCGCCTCGCACCACGCGTGCTTCGTTACTGGCACGCACCTCCATGCAACTCAGCTGCGCGACGCGGCGCGCTGCTGTCCCGAGCGGCGGCATTCAGACCGGGAGAACGAGCGCAGTTGTTGGCCGCAGCACGGCGACCGAACCGACTTCGCAGTCAGGGCGGCAGCATTGATGCCGAGCGAAAACGCAAACAAGCGCGCCAACGTGCGGAAAGATGAGTAGTAATCTTTGCTCCCGTATGTGCTAGTCGTGTCCACTCTGTTCGGATCCTTGTAGTAGATGGGGGAATTCCAGAGAAATCGTGCCCACAAGCGTTAAGTTGCGGGAAATCATGTTGGATGTAAGCATGGTTATGTATGCAACGGTGGATTCTCGATTTGTTTCGGAAACGACAGCAGGGAAGCAGCTTAGGAAGTCGTATAGGCCAGAGACCATGCCATGAGACACAAGAGGGTCCAGGCCGTAATTCGTCATGCTGAAGGTATATGAAGAACTTCCCGCAGGGGCGTCACCTTGGTGAATACAACACGGTCACATCTATCGGAATTTGTCGGTTTGCACAATCGAGGCGTCTAGTTGCGGAATAAGTTTGCGTTCGGAATACTGGTGGCCTGGCTGCGCGGGCGTCTACATGCGCAATGGTTGCCTGTGATGTGCTGTCACTGTTCTGCCGATGAGCGGGTGCTTGCGACAGCAACCATCTGCATGTGAAATCGGTGGCTGGGATGTGTTGTCTGTGTGTTGCCAATGTGTGTCCTGGCTTGCGAGGCGAGTGTTCACATGTTGAAAACATTTTTTGTAAAAGTAGTAGTAGTAGTAGTTGTTGTTGTTGTAGTAGCACCAGCAATAGCACCAGCAGTAGCACCAGCAGTAGCAGTGGCAGTGGTAGTGGTAGTGGTAATCGTAGTAGGAGTAGTAGGAGTAGTAGGAGTAATAGGAGTAGTAGGAGTAGTAGGAGTAGTAGGAGTAGTAGTAGTAGTAGTAGTAGCAGTAGCAGTAGCAGTAGCAGTACTAGCAGTAGCAGTAGCAGTAGCAGTAGTAGTAGTAGTAGTAGAAGAAGTAGTAGTAGTAGTAGTGGTAGTAGTGGCAGTAGTAGTAGTAGTAGTAGTAGTTTTAGCAATAAGTAGTCGTCAGAAACTAGTCGTAGTCGTCGTCGTAGTAGTACCAGTAGTTGTGGTGGTGGTAGTAAAGGGTCCAGGCCCTAAATCGTCCCAGGTATGGCGAAAGGTGTTTCGCAGGGTGTCACCTTGGGGTTTGGCAGTCTGTTTCTCGTGAGCTATTTTGGCTTCGCTCCCACCGTTTAAGCTTCAGCTTCGGGATCCGCATGGATTCGCAGTTTGCAGCTCGTGAGCCGTTCGCAGAACCTTTCAGCGTTCAAGGCGGGGAAGCGCACGAATAATATTAAACACTGATCCCAAAGCATCCAAAAGCCTCCAAGACCTTGCTTGTGGCCGCGATCGGTTCCTTTGACGATCAGCACGTGATGAGTGGGTTGGCAAAAGACACTGCCGCTTATGCGCTATTTGCTGGGAGATCTCGACGTTGCGAACCTTTCCCACGCAGTAAGCACTTTGCACTTTGCCCGTTCGGGTCAGAGACTACGGTCCTACAGAGACATAGGTGGCAGGTGGGAACAAATTAAAGTACATCATGTTCACAAAATTGGATATAGCGGTGTCGTAAAGAGTTGTATTCTGGCGAATCAGCGACATCATGCCAAGCCGCTGCTAAAAGAAAATATGCACGACTGAAACATTTCAGATCATCGCCCCACCGTTTCGGAGGTCTGCCAGGCTTTCTTTTCGGCTGTGTTGCGAAGTTGTTATGTCGAGTTGGATCCCAGCTCGCGGCAAACAATGGCCACGCATTCTGTTCGACAATACGGGCCCCGAAACTGTGTGCATGCTGCGATGTACTTCCGACCATGTCGTCACCGGCGACTGGCGAACAGCAGATTGAACTCTGGCCTTCATACGCCGCATGGTGTAAGACCAAGCCTCACCTTCGACACGATACCAGCCGACGATGGATCTCAACATTTTTTTTTGCAACGTCAATTTCTTCCAACTGT